CAAATAAATAAATAAATAAATTTAAAAAAAAATAATAAATTAGTTAAATTCGACTTTATTTCCGGCCTAGGTTTGCACCTTCTGGGAATCCTTGTTGTAGCTTCATCCCCAAATGAGGTGACTTGAATTTAGGAATCAGACACCCCAACTTCAGGGGTGCAGGACTGCCCCCAAAATTGAGCTCAGCGCAGGTCTGGGCACCCTCGCGGTAGCAGAGGCTTTTCCTGTTTTGGGGACCCTAAGCCTCAGGTGGGTCCCAGGCGCGGCCGTCGTGCCTCCCCTAGGCCCGGCTGCGCCACTCCTTCTCCACTCCCTTCCAGGAAGGCTTCTGCCTGCAGTCGGGGCGCTGAGAGTTAAACCCAAGCGCTAAGCCGGGCTCCTGTGACGTCACCGGCACCCCGCGCCCGACCTCAAGGGACGGGGCGTGGCCAGCAGTGCCCAGTCCCTCCTCTCGGCCCCCGCCCCTCCCCGCTGTCACCGAGCCAGGAGCACATGATGCAACCCGCGCCGCTTCCCGTCCGTGATTGGCGGCCGCGCCCGGCGCCAGGCCTGGGGATTGGGTGCAACAGTCAGTGACGACACATGGACCCTGCCCGGGACCGAAGGAAGAAGGGGGGGGTGCCGGAGGGGCCGGAGGCGGGGTCCCCAAGCTGCGCCCGCGCCCCTGGCGCGCCAGTCCCGGGGCTGCAGGGAGCGCAGCGCGCGCCGCCCGGGCCCCGGCACTGTTCGCCCTCCAGACACGATCCTCCCGGAGCCAGGACCGTGGCCACCTTGGCCACTGCGCCGGACGCGCCCCCAGCCGCGCGGGACGCCACAGCGGACGCGACTTCCCCGCGCCGGACATCGCTCCCCGCTGCCTTCTCCCGCCCGGACGCCGTCCCCTCCCCCTCCGTGGGCCCCCACCGCGTCCCCTGCATCCCCTAGGGGTCCTTGACACCCGGCGCTGGACGTCGCCGCCCCCTGTCCCTCTGCGCGCCAGAGCCCCGCAGGCTCCGCGACCCCGGCCCCGCGCCCGATGCCTCTCCCTGGGGGGCTGTGGTGGCTCCTATGCTGCCGCCGGGGCTTCACCCTGCTGCACCGCGACTACGGCGACGGCGAACTCTGTGGGGACGGGGACGAGGACGAAGACGAAGAGAGCTTCGAGCTGCGGATCCCGAGTCCGGCGGGCGGCGGGAGGGTGAGTACTGGAGACCCAGAGGCTCGGCTCCGTCTCCGGGCGCCCTATGGCGCGCTCGACTCTGCCTCGACTCCAGCCAGGTCCAGGCGCGGGGACAAGGGACAACCCTAGTCGGAGGCGGGAGCACCCCACTCGCGACGTGCCCGTGGGCCTCGCCTACCGCTGGGCGCTGTCCACCTGCTGGGGGCCCCGAGGCAGTGAGGCGTCGCTCGTGGCCCGACCTGGCCCTGCCTCTCCCTTCTCCTCCGGGCTCGCGTCCCATCCCGTCTCCTTCCGCCTCCGCCAGCGCCAAGGAATGTGGCGAGGCCGGCCGGGCCGCTCGATCGCCTGGGTCCTCCGCACTCCCCTTTGGCGAGTGTGAGGCCAGATTTGAGAGCTCCCACAGCCGGGACGTAGGCCAGGGCAGGACAGCCTCTGAGGACTGGGGTCTGCTGCGTGAACCCCATGGAGGGGGATTTGGGGACTATGGTGCCCTGTCGTTGGGGACAGAACTGTCAGCCTTCACCGGTGAGGCTCCTGGGAAATCCCCGCCCAAATAGTGAGGGACACTTGGTTATTGGGTCCTGACCAATGTTCCCCAGGGAAACTGAGGGACACTGGTATGGGACACCTTCATCCCCTGGCTTGACCTCTCCTCGGGCCCCTATACCCTGGCAACTGGACTCCAGTGACCTGTGGCCTTGGCCAGGCTCGCCTTCCCCATCAGGGGTCCCCAGCAGGCTTGGTGGCTCTGTGCCCGGGTGGGGAGGGAGCCAGCACCTGGCCAGGCTGAGGGCAGATAAATATAGAGGGAGGAGGAGGGAAGCAGGGACTGAGATGGGGAGAGCCAGTGTTAAGTGGGCACCTGCCCTGGCGGTACGCTGGGCTCCTCTGCCTGGCCTCAGGAATCCTAGAACTCAGCTCCCAAGGAGGGTGCAGGACCCAGGCAGCCCAGCTCCCAGCCGTCAGCATCTGCTCTGTTGGTTGCCGTGGCCTCCCTCATGCCCCACCTCTACCACCCCTCCTCCCCAAGCAGGGGACAGGTGTTCTGGTCCCCCTCCGGCTCCCCGCTCCCCCCCTCCGGGCTTTAGCAGTCTGGGCTCAGTGAGACCATGGCACAGTTCCTGCCTGGCTTGGTTCCGTTCACCTAGGAGGACTCTCTCAGACCCCAGCCTTGAAGTTCCAGGCAAGGGGTGAGGAGGGCACGACACCCAAGGCCAAAAGCCTCAATTACACCTGGCCTTGGAGTTGGAACTGCTTGCTCCTCAGCTTGGCCAAGCTGGGTGGGGTGGAGTCTGGGCTGGCTGCCCCTGGGGTGGAAAAAGCCCGCATGAAGGGCCCCCTCTTCCCTTCTTCTCCATGCCCCAGGTCTAGGGGTGACTGCAGCTACCACAGCCAGGGAACTCTACCTCTCTAGTTCAATGGTGGGGGAACTAAGGCCTTGTTGGTGTTTGTGCAAGCTCCTTGCTGGAGTTTGCAGGCTGTGGTGTCGGTGATCTGTGATCCCGAGTGCCCTGCCACCCTGTCACCCTACAGCCCCAGTGCATCTCTAAAGGAGGTGGGGCAGCACGAGACCCAGGGAGTGGGTGACCCCATGGCCCCACTCTTTCCCCATCTGGGCTACTCTCCGCACCTCAGACCTGGGGCACTGTGTAGTCCCAGGCACCACAGCCGGCCGCAGGCACGCACAGGGTGGGCTCTGGCTCTGAGCGTCCTGCCTCTGTCCCTAGAGTCCCCTGGAGGTGGCGCTGACTCAGCCTGGGAGGAGCGGGCCGGTCTCTGACAGGTGAGCTTTGCATCAGCAGGCGACCCTAGCAGGTAGCAGGACCGTGGGACCCTGTCCCTGCAGCCTCCACCCCCCAAGTTGTGCAATAAGAATAGGCCCTCGCAAGCCGGACACTGCGGCTTGGCTGGGGTCCCGGGGGCGGTCCAGCTGGGGGTGCGGGGAGGAAGGGGAGGGTCCTTGCTATTTCTGGTGCGAGGTCAGCACAGCCCCATGGTTCCCACAGTCTGGAGGAGGGGTGTCCCGCTGGGGAGCAGCCCCCTTGCCATCTGGGGGGCCCCTGCTGAGCAATCCAACAGCCTGTTTCCTCTGGCTCTCTGCTCCCCCTGGCCAGGCTGCAGAGCTGGGAGGAGACTAGGAGCCTCATCCCAGAGAAGGGACTGCAGGACGACGACCCCGACGTGGTTGTGAAAGGTGTGCCCCAACCCCCATGCATGTGAGGGCCCACCTGTGGGACACTGATTGGCCAGACTGACCCAGCCCCCATCCGGCTTCCCAGGCTGGTTATACCGAGAGCCCCGAAGAGGAGGGGCGCGGCCATGGCTGCCCCCACGCCGAGCCTGGTTCGTGCTCACGCGTGATTCCCTGGACCAGTTCAGCAGCAGTGGGAAGGGTGCAAGGCGCCTGGGCAGCCTGGTGCTCACCAGCTTGTGCTCTGTAAGCGGCCCAGAGCGCAGGCCCAAGGAGACTGGTGAGCCCCTGGGAGGGGGCGCGCGCCCCTGCCCCTGCCCAGCGTGTGGTGTGTGGTGGGGGTACTCCCCTAGCCCTGACCCTCCCTTGCCCCCAGGTCTGTGGTCCCTGACTGTGTCTGGCCGCAAGCACAGCATCCGCCTGTGTTCCCCGCGCCAGGCCGAGGCCGAGCGCTGGGGGGTGGCCCTGCGGGATGTGATCTCCTCCAAGGCACCCCTGGAGACGCCCACCCAGCTCCTGCTCAGGGACATCCAGGTGAGCAGGGGCAGCCCTCAAGACGTGGTTGTGAGGCGGTAAATGCTTCCCGGGCCTTCCCCACCACCTCCACCCTCTGCCTGGCCTCTAGGAGAGTTGCGGGGACCCAGAGGCAGTAGCCCTCATCTACCGGCGGAACCCCATTCTGAGGCACACCAGTGGGGCCCTGTATGCCCCGCTCCTGCCCCTGCCCTACGGAGGGGGCGCTCCAGGTGAGGGTCCCAGGCCTGCATGTGGGAGGGAAGGACAGGGCCTTGATGGCAGGGCCTGCATCAGGGGACAGACCCAGCCCCCCAGCCCCTCGCTTTCCAAACTGGAAGCTGGTGGAGGTGGGAAGTGGAAAAGGAAGTCTGAGCTGAGCCTCCCCTCCCCCGCGCTTCTCTGGAGGGTTCACCTGACTGCTGCTGTTCTTTCAAGAATTTTTGCACTTTTCTGTTTTTTCATTACACCCTTATTTTTGGTGTTGCACTAGGGATTGAATCCAGGGGTGCTGTACAATGAGCCCTGCCCCCCTTTTATTTTGAGACAAGGTCTCCCCAAGTTGTCCAGGTTGGGCTCCAACTTGCAGGCCTCCTGCCTCAGTCTCCTAAAGTGCTGGGATCACAAGCGGCGCCACCACTTGGGGATTTTTTCAGGACACTGAAGAGCAGTCTTCCCTTTATAGGTAGTGGAGCAGACACCACTTGGACCTGGGGGAGAACTCGCAGCCTGCTCCAGCTCTATTTCTCCCCAAATGGTCCTAGTGGCTGGCCAGGTCCTAAAGCCAGAGGATTAAGGGGGCTGGGAGCCAGGTCCTGGCTTTCTGACTCCCAGATCAGCGGCCTGTCTCTGGCCCAGAGAGGGCCCTCATTAAGCTGGGGCTTGAACCTCGGACCTCCATTTTCCCCTCTGCTTTGCCAGGAGGGGCCTCTGATTCAAAGGGTGGCTCTGTGGCACCATGCTTTCCCTTCATTCCCCCTGTCCTTCTATCCTCCCCTCTTTACCGTCCCGTCCTTTTATACCCCCTGACCTGACCCTGGGCGTGCCATCGCCGCAGGGCGCAGCTCTGTGTCCCCTCTCCCAACCATCCCTCCGCCCCCGCCGCCCCATAGGTCCTGGCTATGCACCCCTGCGAGAGGAGGCGGTGCGGCTGTTCCTGGCGCTGCAGGCGCTAGAGGGGGCGCGGCGGCCTGGGCCCCTGATGCAGGGCGTGCTGCAGACCTGCCGGGACCTGCCTGCGCTCCAGGATGAGCTCTTCCTGCAGTTGGCTAAGCAGACCTCGGGCCCCGCGGGTCCTCCCGGGCTCCCCGCTGCGCAGGACCCCGCCACCTTGCGCTACTGGCAGCTGCTCACCTGCATGAGTTGCACCTTCCGTCCTGGGGGCGCTGTCCGGGGCCATCTCCTGGGGCACCTGGAGAGGTGAGAAGAGCAGCGCAGGGCCAAGCAAAGGAGCTGCAGGGTGGGGAGGAGATAGCATTGCAGAGGGAGGGGACGTGCCTGGTCTGGGCTGCCACCGCAGAGCCAGCTGCGCGGTAGTAATTACCAAATCACATCCCATTATGAGATGTGAGACCGTGAAGATAAGACTGTGGCTCCGAGGGGCGGAGGAAATGTATCAGGCGGCTGCGGGGTGGGGGGTGGAGGGTCGGCCAACCCAGGGTTTAGGAAACTAGTAGTGCGACTGGATTTGGGAGTTGGAAGGCGATCAAGAGACTTTCCGAGGAGGAGGTGGTGGGTGAGGGCAGTAGAGAGAGAACCGCCCCAAGACTTGCAGTTAATTCAGCTCTCCGCAGCTTCAGACTGCCTTCAAGGTCTGAGTGGAGGAGGAGGAACCGCCAGAGAGAGAGGAGGAGAGGAGGGCAGGGGAAGAGAAGCCCGGTGGGACTGACCCCCGGACTCCTCCTCACCCAGGACGGAGCAGGCACTCCCCGACTCCGAGCTGGCGGAGTACGCACGCTTCATCCGCAAGGCGCTGGGCCGCACGCGCGGCCGAGAGCTCGTGCCATCTCTAGCCGAGATTGCTGCGCTGAGCCGGCGGCAGGAGCTGCTGTGCACCGTGCACTGTCCGGGCGCTGGGGCCTGCCCGGTGGCCATCGACTCGCATACTACCGCGGGAGAGGTGAGGCCTGGGGCGGCCCCTTACCCATCCTGTCCTTCCAGCTCCTCAGGCCTGGCTCTCCCAGGGCCGCTCAACTCGGTTCCAGATTTATTTCGGTACCAGAGAGAGCGGTGGTGAGGGTGAGACCCGTCCAGTGGGCAGAGCCCCTTCCTTGGGACCCGACGGTGCCTGAGCCTTGTGCCCTGCAGGTGGCTCGGGAGCTCGTCGGGCGGCTGGGCTTGGCGCGGAGCCGCAACGTGTTCGCGCTGTACGAGCTGCGCGGGGCCCAGGAGCGCGCCCTGGCCGGCGGCGCCATCGTGGCCGACGTGCTCACCAGGCTTGAGAAGTAAATGTCCAGCCCGTGCCCTCCTTCTCCGCTGCCCGCAGGCCCCACGCCAGGTCCCCTCGCGCCAGTGCTGGCTGAGGGGTGCTCGCGGTCCCACGCCCTGCCCCCCTGCCCCCTTCCCGGCTCCTGTCCGCAACGCGTCCCTTCCTTCTCAGTTTGGCGGCCGAGGAAAATGGGTCGCAGGACTCGACAGACTCGGGGTGGAAACTCAGCCTGCGCCTCCATGGACCCCTGCACCCCGAAGGACTGTGCCCCGACGGCCACCAGCTGCCGTTCCTCTTTGAGCGGGTGAGGCTCGCGGGCACCTGCGTCTCTGAACAGGCTGCCTCGGATCTGGAGCCCTGTTTTTGTTCAGTGCTGCTGCGCGCGGGACGCCCTGACGCGGGTCCTTCTTGCAGGCTCACGCTCTGCTGCTGCGCGCCCGGCCCGCCCCGCCCGACGACGCCACGCTGTGCGCCCTGGCGGCGCTGCGTCTGCAGAGCGC